AAATTAGCAAATGTGGTTTATAAATACATTATTGAGATTATTCGGCGTTTCGAATTCTCGATTTGTCAACTTAAGAAGATTCAACTTTTCAATATTTCAATTTTGGACATTTTCAATTTTTCCATTCTTTAAATTTTCGGTTTTTCCATTTTGTTATTTTTCGATTTTTCAATTTTCCGATGTTTCAATGATACAATTTCTCAATTTTTATCCTCTTTTTGAATTTTTCAAATTTTGACGTTTTTAAATTTTCAGTTTTTCCGTTTCTGAAGTAATCTTTTTTTATTTTTCCATTTCTTCCCAAAGTTTCGATTTTTCACTTCTTCAATACTTCAATTTTTCGATTTTTTGATGTATCAATTTTTCGATTTCGCAGATTTTTGATTTTTCAATTTTTAGATTTTTTAATCTTACGATTTTTCGACTTCTGGATTTCCCGATTTTCAGTTTTTCGTTTTTTAAACTTTGGGTTTTTCAATTTTTCGGCTGTTTTATGTTTCGATTTCTCGATTTTTCAACTTTTCGATATTTTAATTTTTCAATTTTTTAAAATTCTAGATTTTTGATTTCTCGAGTTTTCAGTTCCTCTATATTTCAATATTTCAATTTTCGGGATTTTTAAAATTTTCGATTTTCCATCTTTTTTTTTCGACTTTTTAAATTCTCAATTTTTCGATGGTTCGATTTCCAGATTTTTTAATTTTTCTTAGGTTTTTGAACTTCTCAATATTTTAGTTTTGTGATTTTTCAATATTTTGATTCCTCAGTTTTTTGATTTTTTAATTTATCGACTTTTTGCTATCCAGATTTTTCTTTTCTTATTTAGATTTTTCGATTACTCAGTTTTACGATGTCAGTTTTTCGATTAAATTTGTGGATTTTTAAATTTCTCGATTTATCAGTTTTTCAATTTTTGACATTCGTGAATTTTCGATTTTTCAATTTCTCAATTTCTCGATTTCTTGATTTCAGTTTTTCCATTCAATTCTTCGATTCTTGAATTTTTCTTCGATTTTTCAATTTTTCGATATTTCAGTTTTGAGATTGTGCAATGCTTCGACTCCTCAATTTTTCGACTTTTTAAATTCTCAGTTTTTCGATGGTTCGATTTCCAGATTTTTCAATTTTTCTTAGGTTTTTCAACTTCTCGATATTTTAGTTTTGTGATTTTTCAATATTTTGATTCCTCAGTTTTTTGATTTTTTAATTTATCGACTTTTTGCTATCCAGATTTTTCTTTTTTATTTAGATTTTTCGATTTTTCTGTTTCTGCTCCTCGATTTTTCTTCGATTTTACAATTTTTCAATGATTTAGTTCTGTGATTTTTCAGTATTTTAGTTCGTCAGTTTTTCGATTTTTAATTTCTTGATTTTTTCCTTTTTCAATTTTGTTTTTAATTTAAGACTCCACAATTTTTCAATTTTTCCGGTTTTTTGGTGTTTCCAATTTTCGATTTTTCAGTTTCTCGATTTCCAGTTTTTCGATTACTCAGTTTTACGATGTCAGTTTTTCGATTAAATTTTTGGATTTTTAAATTTCTCGATTTATCAGTTTTTCAATTTTTGACATTTCTGAATTTTCGATTTCTTGGTTTCAGTTTTTCCATTCTTCAATTCTTCGATTCTTGAATTTTTCTTCGATTTTTCAATTTTTCGATATTTCAGTTTTGAGATTGTGCCATGCTTCGACTCCTCAATTTTTCGACTTTTTAAATTCTCAATTTTTCGATGGTTCGATTTTAGTTTTGTGATTTTTCAATATTCTGATTCGTCAGTTTTTTAATTTTTCGATTTATCGATTTTTTACTATCTAGGTTTTTCTTTTTTTATTTAGATTTTCCGATTCCTCGATTTTTAATTTTCGATATTTAATTTTTGTGATTTTTCAGTATTTAAGTTTGTCAGGTCTCTATTTTTCGATTTCTTGATTTTTTTGTTTTTTCGATTTTTCATTTTTTTATTAATTTAAGACTCACCAATTTTTCAGATTTTTCGATTTTTTGATGTTTCTATTTTTCTATTTTTCAGTTATCAATTTTTCAATATTTTAATTTTAGATTTCTCGATTTTTCAGTTCTTCAATATTTCTATTTTTTAATTTTTTGAACATCTAAATTTTAGTTTTTTTTTAGTTTTTTGATGTTTCGATTTCTCGATCTTTCGATTATTAATTATAAATTAATTATTTTTAATATTTGGTATTTTTTTTAACAGGTTGGCAACCTATTTAAAATTTTATGATGGCATACCTCAACACTTCAATTTTCTTAGAGAGTACATCACTTGCCAAAATCAGTATTATACTAGCCCCGCCCACCCGCCTTCTATTTTCTTAGAAGGTATATCATTTGCCAAAATCAGTCTTACCTTTACAATTACTAGCCCCACCCACCTGCTCTCTATTGTCTTAGAGGGTATGTCATTTGCCAAAATCAGTCTTATCTTAGGAAGTACTAGCCCCGCCCACCCGCCCTATCGTTTCTTAAAGGATGTATCATTTGCCAAAATCAGTCTCAGTAGTAGCCAAATCCAATTTTTCAGTTTTTTAATTGCCGTTTTTTTGATTTTGGACTACATATTTCGATTTTCGATTTATGGGTTTTTCGATATTTTCGCTTTTCAATTTTTCCATTTTTTAAAATTTTGGATTTCTTGATTTCTTGGTTTTTCGACTTTTCGACTTTAAAATTTTTCGACTTTTAGATTTTTCGATTTTTCGATTTTTCAAGTTTTCAATTTTTCAGTTTTTCGATAATTATGTGAATTTTATGAATTTCTGGATTTTTAAAATTTTTCAATGTTTTAATTTTACGATTTTTCGGCTGCTCCTCCATTTTTCTATTTTTCGACTTTTCGTATTTCAATTTTTCCGAATTCTCCATTTATCCAATTTTTCAATTTTTCGATTTTTTAAATTTTGGTTTTCCCAATTTCTCGGTTTTTCAACTTTTCGACTTTTCAATTTTAAAATCTTTCAATTTTTCGATTTTACGATTTTTCGATTCGATTTCTTAACATCTCGGTTTTTCAATTTTCCGATTCTTAAAATTTTTGAAATTTGGTTTTTACAATTTTTCGGTTTTTAAATCCTTCTATTTTCCAGTTTTTCGATTTTTCAATTTTGTGATTGCTCGATTTCTCGATTTTTCAATTTTTCGATTTACTGTTTTTTTTTATCTTCAATTTTTCAATTTTTACTTTGGATTTTTCAATTTTGGACTATTTCGATCTCTCAGTTTTTCGATTTTTCGACTTCTCAACTCAGTAATTTATTCATATTTCGAATTTCGATTTATGGGTTTCTAGATCCATTTATTCGATGTTCCCGTTTTTGAATTTTTCGATTTTCTAATTTTTCTGAATTCTTCATTTATCCGATTTTTCAATTTTTCGATTTTTTAAATTTTGAACCTCTCGATTTCTCGATTTTTTGAATTTCGATTTTACAATTTTTTGACTTTTCGGTTTTTGGATTTCTCGATTGTTACAGTTTTTTATTTCTCTGTTTTTCAATACTTCAATTTTGTGAATTTTATCATTTTCTGGTTTTTTAAATTTTCCAATCTTTTAATTTTCCGATTTTTCGATTGCTCCTTAATTTTTCGTTTTTTTGACTTTTCGTGTTCCAATTTTTCGATGTCCTAATTTTTCCGAATTCTCCATTTATCCGATTTTTCAATTTTTCTATTTTTTACATTTTGGATTTATCGATTTCTTGGATTTTCGACTTTTCCGCTTTTCAATTTTAAAATGTTTCAATTTTTTTTTATTGAAGCTTCCATTTCTCCATTTTTCAATTTTTTCATATTTTAATGTTCCAGTTTTTAGATTTTTCGATTCCTAAATTTTTCAATTTTTCAATTTTTCAGTTTCTCGATTTTTCAGTTTCTCGATTTTTCAACTTTTCGATTTACCGATTTTTTTAATCTTAAATTTTTCAATTTTTTAATTTTTAATTTTCATTTTTTCGATTTTTCGATATTCCCATTTTTCAATTTTTCGATTTCCTACGTTTTCCGAATGTACTTAATTTATTTGATTTTCCAATTTTTCGATGTTTCGATTTTTCAATGATCCGATTTTTCAATTTTAGATTTTCCAATTTTTATTTTTTTGTTTTTTTCATGTTTGGATTATTTATTATTACTAAAACTTAAAGTAAAAAATAACTACCAAAATTGTGACTAAAAATATGCAAATTTTAAAAAATATAGAACACAATGCTGCTAAAACATAAAAATAACTGTACTTCCCCAAAAAAAATCTATTGCAGGATTACGATTCCACTAGTAATTCCACTAATTTAGGACATTTTGTTCGTATCAAACACAATTAAAGAATTAATTCTTAGTTAACCAAAAAATATGTGCATGTCAAAATCGAGTGAAACATGTGAGATGTGATATATGTTTGTAAATAAAAGCATCTAAATAATAACCATGTCCCGCAGAAATTCTGGACGCTTAGAGTCGAGATTGGCCTGAGCGCGCTCCGGTCTGTGGATCAAACAAGTTCTCGAGGTACGTGTCCACTTGCGAGAAATCGCCTCAAAATCAGCCCTGGAGAGCTCCGAGTCGAAATTTAAACATTTTTATTTGCATTCGCAGGAATAAATAGTAATAGTGGAATAGGTCTACTGGAGATACCATGTAAAAAACCGCCCCTGTAATACTTTACCTCATAGGTGTTGCGGAAAAGAGTATCAAAAAATTAAATTTAAATAAATGTGATTGTTCAGGTAAATAACTGGTTAGTGAAGTGATGCGAATCTAAATCTTGTCAGTTTTTTGTATTGATTCATATATAAAATGACAGATTACAAACAATATTGAAATAATTTTTTGGAAGAAAATATTTTAGTAGAATTATAAAAATTTACATACTTTTAAATCAAATTATGTCAGCAACGAAAGAAGTCGATTTGTAAAAGAGTTTCAACAATGTTCGTCGGCTAATTTAAGAGTATTTATGAGTTCAAACTGAACCATAAATCAAGCAAATATTTTGATAAATATAAATTTTAAACAAAAATGACCGGTTCTTCCCCATGGAGCTCAATACTGTCTTTGCAGTGATATAAAAGTTGAAGCGAAACATGCTCTCTCCTCGTCTAAAAATGCAATTTCCTTCGAAAAATGAACGATTAATTAAACACTAAACAATGACTTATTTTAAAAAATATTGTTTCTTCCCCAGAGATTTAGACATAATCTATCAATTGAAATGTCGATCTTTTTCGGTCTGCTACTGGGCGCCCTTAAGTTTTGTGCCAATACCCTACTCGAGTTTAATCCTTTTGATATCACATTTTTACGAAAGGTTTCTCCTTCAAGAACACGCCGCTCACAAAAACTCTTTAATAATGCCTATAAAAATATGACTTTTAATGATTTATAGAATATTTTGACAAATTAATGTTTCTTAATATAGTCGTGGATCCACTCAGCATAATAAGACACTCTTGTATAACCATCTGGTAATCCTACAGCACATTCATCCGCCCTTCCAGCCACCCAGGAAAATACCCCAACCACAACATCACGGCCATTTTTACTGCAAACCAGAGGACTTCCGGAGTCCCCAAAGCAACTACCTTTTCCCTTTCCCGCTAAAGTACAAATTTGTGATAAAGGATCCACCACGACTTGTGTAAACAAAGATTTGCACTTCTGATAAGGAACGGTGGTCGTTGTTATTTGCTGCAACGTCATGGGGACAGTTTTCTTCGTGGGTGAAAGTAACCCCCATCCCAGTGCAGTGCATTTTCGTACAGAGTTGTCGTATGTCTCTTCGATCGGGATAGTCTTTATGGATTCCGACAGGGTTAGGGGTGTCTTCAATTTTAGAAGAGCTATATCGTGTTGTGTCGTCTTTTCGTTCCACCCGGGGTGGATTCCAATATCTGATATGCGGCTCCTGGATGGGGATCCTTGAGTTCGCAAGTTTGTGCCGGCCGCTACATTGAAAAATCTGTAGACGGTGTCAGTACTGAAAAAGATTGATGATTTTGGGGATTTGGGGGTTTTGTAAGAGCTTGTTTTACTCAAGGACGCAATGGGCTGCAGTGAGCACCCATTTTTCTGTAAGGATAGCTCCTCCACATGTGTAGGAATCGAACCATCGTATGGAAACTATATATGGATGATCCAACGTATTTGAACCACCCACAATTCGCTCACTAATACCTAGTGGGGTAGCTATAAGTTAAAATTAATGAGTTAATGTGTTCTTTACAATACAAATGTTACCTATCGCAGCTGCCAAAAGACCGACGAAGACTAGAACTGTTGTCATTGTGATTCTTCACTGAATGCGTGGACTGAGCGTGAGCCCTTTTATAATCCGAAAATTTGTTTTTGTTTTTTTTTAATTAAGTGTTTATTCTTTCGATAATTGCTATTGTAATGGACTCATAAACGTTATGTTGTCTAGACGATAACCGTCTTAATAATGTTGCAATTTAACAGACAAGGTCTGTCTGTTTTGATTTAGTAATTTTCATTAGTATTATAATTTTAAATTTTTTCAACATTAAAGAATAATGTTTTATTTTCCTGTTTGCTTTTTTAAGGACGATACTGACTGTTCAAAATATTGTCTAGGGAGATTTTAGTGGCAAGATGTGCTATCAAAAAAATTGAGATTTGGTTGATCATGGTGTTCATTCAAAACACGTTTTTTTTATTTTTGTCATGAAATTTCAAATTTGAAGTTGCGTGGTTGGCAAACTTGGATTTTTAGTTGAAGTTGGTGTCATAATTTTTCTATAATTTCCGATGGTCACCTGTCAAGATTAATAGATTGTCGACATTTTTAAATTTGCAAAATGTATCCAAAACGTAACCTAAATTTATCGCATGTCAAGATTGACATTTCTGTCACAGAATCCTGTTAAGCCGATATAAACGCAAGAAAAGTTAGAGATTTCATTGTAAAGATACAGAAGAAGGGGAGATCAGACTAGAAAACAGTCCAAAGAAAGGAAGAACAACATATGATAGTAGCGAAATTAATTGAGATATGAGGTGGAAATAAAAATGATTACTTGACCTCAGAAGAAAAACAAAGGCAGCATCAAAATTCCTGCCTTGTGGATATAAGTAAGCTCGTAATGTTTCCAAATTTTGATCATTTTTTTTTGTAAAAGTTAGTCATTTGTACATGCTAAGGCAGAACTAATTTTGGCAAATGACATACTCCCTAAGAAAAGATAGGGTGGGTGGGCGGGGCTAGTAGTTGTCAAGATAAGACTGATTTTGGTCAATGAGATACTCTCTAAGAGAGTAGAGGGCGGGTGGGCGGGGCTTTTACCAGCTAAGATAAAACTGATTTTGACAAATGAGATACTCGCTAAGAAAAGAGAGGGCGGGATAAAACTGAATATGGCAAATGAGATACCCGCTAGGAAAAGAGAGGGCGGGTGGGCGGGGCTAGTACCTGCTAAAATAAGACCGATTTTGGCAGATGTATTCTCTAAGAAATTTAATTAAATTACTATAAGAAAAAATTGGTCTAAAGAGTTTAGACAGTACTTCCCTCGCTGTCGGAAACTTGACGACTGCATGCCTATTGTGTTTTTTTTCTCATTACATTTTTGTAGTGGGAATTTAAAAAAAAATTGCTATGACGTCATCAACATTTTTGCAAGGACACGTATATCAGTTGAGATAGATGTAGTGTAATACTAAGAATAAAATTATTATATTCTCAAATTTTCGGGAAAATGAATTGGGTCGTTTTGAATATTGATTTGTAATAATCAATAAAATAAACAATTTACTCACGTATACGTATCAGAGGCAACTGAAAATCGTGTATGTATAAACATTCTTAATTTAAGATGACAGGCGTAACAGCATACGTGAGAGTCAAACAGAGAAACTGTAAACAAAACGACCATCGGTTTTATTGCTTCGACTTCCGCTTATTATATAAAACATTGGGTTTTATTTTAATTCTTGACGGTGAAATTCACAATTGGTTGATTATAAACATGTCTATTTCACATTCGCGGAACCAAGTGAGCGCATAAAACAAATGCAGTTCTGTAATGTTAAAGTCGATGTAAATAAGCGTGCTACCCTTATGTTTCAACCGAGTTTTTCCTTTAACAAATTTTGTGTCTACCAAATTGGGTTGGTTGGGGTGTAATACTAATAATAAGTGTTGCCTTTAATTTAATCAATAAAATAAATTGACTTCATTAATTTTTTTGAACCACCTCTTAAGAAAATCTAAAAAATATGAATGGAATGATAAATCACAAGTACAAACTCATCATATTTTTTGCATTTTAGACAGGATTTATTCAGCAAAATTTAAGGGTGACGTCATCAATTTTTTTAGGAGGGATGAACAAATACATTTTGAACAAAAGTTTACCATGCTTATAATAACTTTAAAATATTCCCAAGATTTCAAAGCATTCGGTTTTGTAATTCCTGATTAAATCGATAAAATAAATTCACGCCTTCATTAATTTTTTTGAGTCACCCTGCATATGCAAATCCAAAAATATGAATGGAATGATAAATCACAAGTACAGACTCATCATATTTTGCACATTTTAGATACGATTTATTCGGCAAACTTTTGAGCTGACGTCATCAGTTTTTTGTAGAAGATAACCAAATATATTTTGACTAAAAATTTATTATGCTCTTTATAACCTTAAAACATCTGCAAGATTTCAAAGCATTCGGTTTTGTAGTTCCTGATTAAATCAATAAAATAAATTTACGCATTCATTAATTTTTTTGAGTCACCCTGTATATGCAAATCGAAAAAATTTGAATGGAGTGATAAATCACAAGAAGAGACTCACCATATTTTGTACATTTTAGATAGGATGTATTCAGCAAAATTTTGTGGTGACGTCATAAATTTTTTAGGGGGGACGACCAAATACGTTTTGATCAAAAATTTACCATGCTTATGATAATTTTAAAATATCTTCAAGATTTCGAAGCATTCGGTCTTGTAGTTCCTGAGTAAATCAGTAAAATAAATTTACGCTTTCATTTATTTTCTTGAATCACCCTGTATATGCAAATCCAAAAAATATGAATGGAGTGATAGATCACAAGTACAGACTGATCATATTTTGTACATTTTAGATATGATTTATTCGGCAAATTTTCGAGCTGACGTCATCAAGTTTTTGGAGGGGATAAGCAAATATATTTTGACTAAACATTTATTATGCTCTTTATAACCTTAAAACATCTGCAAGATGTCAGAGCATTCCGTTTTGTAGTTCCTGATTAAATCAATAAAATATATTTACGCATTCATTAATTTTTTTGAGTCACCCTGTATATGCAGATCCAAACAATATGAATGGAGTGATAGATCACAAGTACAGACTCATCATATTTTGTACATTTCAGATATGATTTATTCAACAAACTTTTGAGCTGACGTCATCAAGTTTTTGGAGGGGATAAGCAAATATTTTTTGACTAAAGATTTATGATGCTCTTTATAGCCTTAAAACATCTGCAACATTTCAAAGCATTCTGGTTAGCAGATTAAAAATTAAATTTCAAAATGTTGTTTTATAATTTTGATTTTTTTTCCAAAAATCTGGACGTTTCGGGTGAAAAGTCGATTCAGAGTTGTAAACTACATGTGTAGGACTATGTTATTTTATACAATTGAAAACCCATTTACTATGTACAATTTTGAAGTGACGTCATCGCATTAGTGGTGGGGATGATTAAACAAATTTTGGTTAGCGTTTTACCATCTACATGATATTCTTAATATAAGTACAAAATTTCACAACAATCGGTCGAGTACTTTCGGAGATTATCTGTCTAATAAAAATCCGGGGGCAGACGGACAGACGAACAGACGGACGGACAGACGGACGGACAGACGGACGGACAGACGGACGGACAGACGGACGGACAGACGGACAGACAGACGGAAATGGGAGACCTATTTCTTAGTCTTCTAGGGGTCATGAAAGATCGAGAAAACGTAAAAGTAGAGAGTCGGCCGACGGACTCGATTACAATACTTCCTTTGCTTACGCTCGGGAAGTAAAAAGAAAGACTCCAAAGCACTTTCAAATTATTTCCAACCTAGAATCTCAAAATTGTTAAAAAAAAATTGGTTGAAAGTTATTATCAACTGCGGGAATTGTTTTTTATCTTTATAGTCAGTTTTTCCATATAATGTTTTTTTGACATTTTCGCAAGGGCACATATATCAATGTAGTACTAAAAGACTTCTTATAGTTTTAGCACCCTTGGAATCTTCGAAATCTTTGAAATTCAGAGAAAACTTTTAATTTTCACAGTATTTGGAATATTTTCACAAGTTCACAAGTTCAGTAAAATGTTTAGAATTTCTATAATTAAGTAAATTTTTGAAATTTCCAGAAATTCCAGATTTTCTAAATGTTATAATAACATCAATCTTTGGATATACCAGAATCCAACATTTTCCTCAGTTTTCAAGATTTCTAGGTCTTCCAAATTTTTCATATTTTCTAGATATTTCCAGATTTTCTAAAATTAATAGACCCAAGAGTCTTTAATCTTTGAAATTTTTCGAATTTCTGGAATCTTTAGAATCTATGAGACGTATATGGTAATAATTAGGGTGTTCAAGACCCATAATACTTGTAGGATTTATAAAAATTAAAGGAAGCGTTCTTCAGATTTTTACAATTTTTAGATTTTTTGGATTTTTGTTTGTTCATGCGTTTTTTACAATTTATAGAATCTTTGAAATATTTGAAACATATTTTTAAAAACCTTTTTAACATTTGAGTCCTTAGAGTATTTAGTATCTTTAGAGTTTTCAGAGCTCTTACAGTCTTATCAATCTTTGGAAATTTGGATACTTCAGAATTACTAGAAATACATATATAAAGTTTAGAATTTTTATAATTTCTAGGAACATTAATACTTCCAAAATCTTTACAATTTTTAAGATTCTGTTGGAAGTTTTTTCTATTTGAAACCTAAAACTTTACTTTATTTAGCATCTTTGGTGTCTTTATAATTCGCAAAATTTAGTCAATGAAAACTTTAAGATTTTTAGAATGTGTCGAGTCTTTTATAAAAATATTTCAAACATTTGGAAACTTTGGAATTTTTAGAATATCTACAATTTTAAGATTTTGTAAATTGGGAATTTTCATAGTTTTCAAAATTTCTAGAATGTTCAGATTTTCGAGATTAGATGTTTTCATTGTTTCTTTCGAAATTATAATTTTTTGGTGATTCAATTTTTCCAATTTTCAATCTTCGTTTTTCAATTCCTGGATTCTACAATTTTTAATTTTTTCAATTTTGCAATTTTCGGATTTCTAATTATCCGATTTTCCGATTTTTTTAATTTTCAATATTTC